CTCATATTGTGTAAGAGGACCCGGATAAGATTCTCGAAATTAGATCCAATTGGCTCTTCGAACCAAGCTCACCCGTCATGAGAATTGGTCCTTTCCCTTTCTGCTGACTCCCGTTATTGGAATCGAATGGAGCATTTCAGTATTGCCCAGCTGACTGTAACGGGGTGATTGAACCTGACCACTCAGTATTTGCATTGGAGTTGGTCGTTGCTCCCAATATTCGAGGTAATTGAACATTAATAAAAGTCCCCTTTCTTTATATTTTCACAATATACTCGTGTTACAACACGACAACGTATGGAGAAGATTGTCTACCTCGATAAAAGTACTCTTGCTCCTAACTAAATCAGCCTCTTTCATGTATGTCAGATCCTTAAAGACCAAGTTATTGAATTTTTTTACTGCTCGGATAACATTAAAAGGTGTGTAAAAGATACTAAGTGCAAGTGGATGAATTACCATCCATGAGTGCTGGATGTGTGGCCAGTGATGAAAGGTACTAAACTTACTAAGATTGAAATTCTACAGCTTGAGTAGACTGACTTTCACCTAGAAGAGCAAAGAAAGGTGTCAGTAAGGAGGTTGTTTGGAAACTTACTTGATCGACTTGCACATGTTGCTATCATGCTGATTCCTACAAACATTGATGTCTATTCCATTCTTTGCAAGGGAAGTCGAATTTGTTGTTAATTCAATAACAAGGTCTCTATAAAGTAAAAGAATGGCTTGCAGTTAGTCGACAACCTCAACATATGCATCAATTCAATAACTATATTACCCTGCCCTATTTATGGATGCATTGTTTTACTATAATCTAAGAAGAGATAAAAGACTTTTGAGTATTGTCTAATCTTAGGCCCTCTTCTTGAATATTCATGTGGTCATTTCAATGACATTCTAATCTAATCTAGAAAGAGAGGTGCTTGCTACTATTGCAAGCATCTCTATTACATCTTCTAAGTTATATGCAAGCTCGACTGTGATCAAGACTTTTTCATATATTTTCTTACTTTTAGCTTCAACAAAATTAAGTAGGTCTAAGAGAGCAGGATTATCAAACATTTGTAATTGTTACTAGATGTTCATCGACTTCTCTATGTCAGATTGTATTGTCTATAATTTTTAATGTCTACCTTTATAAGTACTACCATTAAAAGAGGATAATCAAGCCTTTATTTTTTGTAGTTTTCTACTTATTATGTAATATATTATTATATATAATCAAATCCATCTTTATTCTTCTTTCAATTATATCTCAAAAGTTATACAAATCATAGCATAAGTAACTTTAATAATATAAAATTTAATGGATTTCAAATTCTAAATAAATATGGCAATATATCAGCCCCACCCACTCATAGCATGCTATATTCATTCTATCAAATTTAGAAGCCAACTCATATCTAGTAATGGTAACTCCTAGGCTCCTTAATTTAGTCCATGGACTTAGACTTATACTCCTCTCTACGAGCCTTCTTATTAGATGTGAGGATCTTGTCACTTTGGTGCTTTCTTGCCATCTTCACTCCTTTCATATGATTGGTGCTTATGACCTCTAGAAATTTTAGAATCAATAATATTAAATAGGATATTGTATAATCTTTCAACTTCCTCCGCAATGGAATCAAGGACCAAAGAGATTCTATATGAGCATCTTGACATGAATTTTTACAACCCGTCACCTTTTCCATCAATTGTACTATATCCTTTGTTTCAATACCTGATACAAGCTACAATCCTTCCTTTACTTCAAAAATCTCAACTTTTTAAACATTCTTTACCTACAAATTGTTTTCAACATCACTTTCATCTACGAATATGGTAGTTTTTCTTCTATAGAATTCAAGTCTACAAATGGCAAAAAAAGTCGACACTCATCTCCTAAAGAGATGATTTTTTCTTCTAAGCACCTTGCCATTGTCAACTTTCTTTCTAATAACCCTAATGTTATCTTTAATGAACAATAGAGACAATAATAATGTAAGAGCTTTGTGAGAATGTAAAAGCTTTGGCAGAATATAAGAGCTTTGTAGAAATTTAATTTTTTCATGAATTGGACATATAATGAAAAAGTCATACCCCACAAAGCAACTTTTTGCCAGAAAAGGACAGTTTGAACAGTTTACAAAACTTTTTGCCAAAATTTTTGAAATTTTTTATATAGTAGCCAATATAACCTTCTTTGAGATTTTCAAAAAAAAACACTTTCTATATTACAAAATTTTTATTCCAAGAGGAGTCAAAGTTTCTAAGCACCTTTTAAAAAAAACTTTTTGCCTTTTACATTTATAAACACAAAAGTTTGAGATTTTTCTCTTTTTTTTTGTTCTTTATTTTTCTAATTAAAAAAAAGAAATAATCTTTATGATCACCGTTTGAATTAAGATTTATGTAAAATTAAAAACATAAAAAAAAAAAAAAAAAAAAAAAAAATGTTTTTCTTGATTTTAGACCCTTCTATGATGCAGTGTTGTTTTAAAGGTGCTAGACACCTCTACAACACATAGTTTTTTTTTGGATATGTACCCTACATCATATATATTGCAATGGTAAAGAGTGACAACTTTGCATATTAAAAAAATCTAATTTTATGAAGAAAACATAGTGTACTGACCCTAAAAATTTGTAGTGCAAAAGCAATTGAACTTGGTTTAAATGTTATAATCATCAAATTCGTGTGGTCAAAAATTATGTAAAAAATTTGGCAAGTTATTTAAGTAGAATTATCAAGATCTTATAATTAAGAGTTAAAAAAAAATTAAGTTTTTGAATGTTTTATAGTAGCATTAAGAACGGTTGGTTTAATGTGTGTTTTTTGAAAATATAGTTTTGGTCCTTTAGGAGTTAAAAGAGGTGAATGTGATTAAAAAAGAAGGGAATTACAACATATTCTAACTACATGGTTTTGTCAAAATTAAGGTCTTATATGAATTATAATGATACATAAATCAATTTAACTATATGATGTATATTGAAACTTGAATACTATTTAATGTTCAAAGTAATTTTTATGTTTTATCGTAGAACTATAACAGTATGCTAGTAATAATATAAAGAAGAGAAAATAGTACAATAGTAAATCCATCACTTTCCATTTACTATAGCCCTCCAACTACACAACACAATTTTTAATATATAATTGAAAGGTGTTAGATTGTGGTGCCTAAAGATTTGAATGGATGCAACATTTAGCAATTTGGACTAAAGGTTTATTTCCATATAACATCTGCATTCTGTATTTTCATTCTTGAAGTTCAAAGAAAGTAACTTCAGAAAATAATTTAATATTTTGGAATTCATCCTATCTTACTACAACTACTATATGCTTGTAGCACTACGTTATGCTGCACTAAATGCACTACGGTCCCTTACTTGTGTTCAAGGAACTATTCACTTACTGCCGCACTACTATAGAATGTAATTTATTATGGATTTTTTTCACCTTGCCTGATGCAAAATCCCACGTAATGTATGTTGAACATGCTATGTGAATGAACCATGAGGAGACTATCAACTTTGGACTAATTTTAACGTGTAGCTGATATTGTAGCACCATAGCAGGTTTGTCATCTTTGAGGAGAATATTTATTGGGCCCTGCCACGCATGGCAACGCTACTCTATAATGTTGTGAATTGGCCTACTGAAATAGCTAGAAGTTAATAAAATTTGTTTCACACTAGTACAAATATCTTTGGCAAATTTTGAAGCTTTCAATGTTTGTCTTAATTTAGGATTTATCTACTACCACCACACTACACTAATAATCTAAGTGTGATTTTCACACTATTTGAACATCCATCAATTAATATGGTTTTATTACTTAGAAAATTCAACCCTAATTTAGATAAAAATGTCTCCTTCCAAAATAATTACAAATTAAATTTTTTATTAGCATGGTTTATTTTAAACTAATTCCATACTAATTGGAATGAATGGTGCAATTTGTAAAATTTAAGATGGAGGAGAACATATATTGGGTGCTTATTTTACTGTAATGGTAAAGGAGCTATGGTATAATAGTATGGTGTAAGGAGTTTGGAAGGAGGTTGAAGAGCTACAGTGTAAAGAGATGGGAGAAACTATGATATGAGGAGCTTGCAAAGAGCATCCACTTCAAGTCTTAAAACCACTAAGTCTATGATATAAGGGTTGATTTGAAACTAGTAGATTTGCAAAGACTCTCGAATTTTTAGAGAAGCATGCTTTGCAATATGATCACAACCTTGGTTATAGAGGATATTCATGGATTATAGAAGAGCCTATTTATTACTTTTGGAATTTAAGGTGGATTGGAGAATTTCGAATTTTGAAAATCCCATTATTATAAATACAATTATAAAAAATTCACAATATCTCTTAATAAAAATTTAATTTTTTTTCATAAAATTAATATAAATCTAGGAAAAAAAAAAACGCATTGGAATTCACTATTGCGATTCTTTTGACCATGTTTTTGCTAGGTAGAAATCAAGTGCCCAAGATTACCAAAATCATGGAATTTGAGTGACTGAAAATGAAAAATGGATAAATTTATGTAACAAAGCTATAAAACATGTGTTCTAAGCAATATACATAGATGGCGGCTACTGTGAGTTGATGTCTTTGGTGATAGCAGCAAGGTAGGCTCAAGCAACATTGGACAACAACACACTATTGGAGTGAAAATAAGTTTCCACTTACTCATTAAACTTGTATACCAAATACCAATTGTAATGCACACTTCCAAGACATAACTAGTTATACAATAACTATTATATTATTGGTCATGCATTTCATGTCCAATGCACATAGAAATGGTTGACTCATTACTCTATTAAGCCATAACCATTCACACAACACTTGTTGTCATGCAATTCAATATTTATCAATTACTTATAAAAACAAAAGTACGGTCATCTTTTTTTTCCAATTTCAATTAGAAATCCGATCTTACAATTTCTCTCTCACGATTCCATTCACACAACACCTGTTGTCATGCAACTCAATATTTATCAAATACTTATAAAAACAAAAATATGGTCATTTTTTTTCCAATTTCAATTAGGAATCTGATCTTACAATTGCTCTCTCATGATTCCAGTCTTATAATAGCTCAAACCTTTCTACATTGTTGATTCCACTATCTACACTACATAATTAACTGACTCAAATCATTATCAAGAAAATGTACATGGACACATTAATTTGGACTCAACATAATTATTTGACTTCACTATCATGACATGACATTCAACCCGGGCTACAACAATAACATTAATCGGACTAAACTTCAATCCAAATTAGAATAATCCATCAAACAGATTAAACTTCACAATCAATAACCTCTCTTTTATGTGTAACTAGCTAGACTTTGCTTATGCATGATGAGACGTAACTTTCTTTCAGAGGAGGTACAATTTGAGCAAACGATGGTCTCTCTGCGGGATCAACACTCCAGCATCTGTGTTTGATGTCCTTCATGTTTGGAGGAACATCATTCGGAAGCAGTGATCTTCTACTAGACTGAACCGGACCAAAGTCGATTTAGTAAAACAGCCCTCCCAACACATGCACTCACTCACACTTCCGCATTCCGCATACAGCTAACTTCGCAGCTCACCTCCTGCATACGGCGGTCCATAACACGATCACCAAACTTTGTCGGTTCAGGAATCCCGCGAGGCAGGCGCCCAGGCGGAGTTCTCGACAGCAGCACAGAGGCGGAGTTATCAACAACGGCGCACAGGAGGAGTTCTCGTCAGCGACGGTTGATCCGATGTCAAACCCTAACCACTACATGAGAAGACCAAAAATCAAGAAAAATCAAAACAGAAAACGCAAGAACCGGGCGCTTTCTTATCAAACTCCGCTCCTTGCTCTCGAGAAAATGATTCCAACTACTCCTCTACTCCATACAATGCACATCAACCCTAATGAACAACCGACCAGCGCCTCAAACGAAGAAGAATTGAAAACAGCCGCAACCAATACACCAATCCGCCACTCACGCACACTAATACAAAACAAAGACGAGGACGGGAAAGCAAATAGCTACTTACCGCGGTATCACCGCATGCAGAGGAGGAGAGCCACAGCAGACGCGAGCGGCCACCAAAGACGACACGGAACGGCTAAGACAAAAGGTAAGAGAGAGGAGCAGCGCGCGCAAAGCGCGGCGATGGAGATTCGACGCGCATGCGAGCTGCAACACTGAGTTTCTTCTGCAGTCCGTCTCCAAGGCAGTTCTTAAACAAGCCACTGGGAGCGCACTTGTCGATCAGCTTTTCCACACTCGGAAGTACCGACTGTCAGACTTGTACCGCTCATTGTCCTGAAATGTGCGAGTGCAAGCCTCTACCTCCGGAAGGAGCTCGGATTGATAACCTCTACTTGGGTATGTGTCTTTCACCCAATTTATCAACCTGACGGAAAAAGAAGCACCATCAATCGAATTCCTCACCACAAGATCATAAGAAATTATTATAAATTTCTTTAAAAAATACACTTCATCTTATCGAATGGTATTTACCTCAAAAATATTGAAAATTTTGAGTTCTCCAAACTTTATCCAAATCATCTGACCCGGGAGTGGGAGCGGGACAATAAGCCAGCACGACCCGGGAGGTAATTCAAGGTAACCTACGTTTGCATCTGATTCTATCATGGAACGAGCCCAGCTCCATCTTCAAAAACCTAACAAAACTGTATGCAGTACAAGCATTCTCTAGGGAAATGACCAACAAGTTAACAACACAAGATTATATCAGTGCATGATGTGAACAAGATTAGAAAGATTGGACTGATTAACAGACCTAGCAGCTGAAAGTTCCAGCAATGTTGTCAAGCAAGATAAGAGTGTCACATCGGAAAGACAGGACGCCACAATGGCAAGCAATGGCCATAGTAATACTGTGGTTCTGGTTGCTTCTGTCTCGCACTTTAACAAGATAGAAAATACTAAATATCTCTCCTGGCACTTCATCCACTTTTGTTTTGTTAGACCAAAATATCTACAAATATTTTTGAAAAATCGAAGACGATGCTAGAATATTTCACCTTATAATAGAATTGAAGAGAGTCCAAAGTATCCATGCCAGCTGTTGGACTTCAACAAATGATTAGAAGTGGTTATATGTTGTAACTCCATGGTGAGCTCGATGAAACAAGAAATGAGGATTGACTTGACTGTCACTATTAAGTACGAGAGATGTCATACCATGAACAGAGCTTCGAATAGATTCTTGAGCGTAAAAACAAAAATGTTTATGACATGTATCATACAATAAATGAAACTTAGACCACTATCTTAAATGTGCAAAGATAGTATACAAAAGGGCAATAATCTGATCAGGGTATCCCGGACCAAACTTCCTGGACTTTAGGAAAAAAAAAATTGGAAATGAAATAAGCATCATAAAAATATTAAAGCTATAAGGTATGGTAGTAGGAATGTTGGGACACAATAATCACCTATTATATATGTCAAATGTGAATATTGATTTTCCTTCTAATTTACCATATTTTACATATGATGAGAATATGAAAGAGAAAAGACATTATTTTGTCAAAAAAAATAATTTTGCAATTTATTAAATTTGGGCTTGAGCATGTTATGTGGTTCCAAAATGAAAATATTATAAAATTGTTGTCTTTTTTCATTGTGTGAAAAATCACACATTATTCCATGTTTAGGAACTATTTCACTACAAATTCCTATTCCAGATTGATCCTTTTGCTTGAAATCCAAAATTGAGACAATTTTCGTTTTGAGCTCTAAAGGAATCAAAAGAATGTGAAAATTATTAAGTTTTTCTTAAAAATTAGTATTCAAGATAGAGTATTATAACTTCTTCTATTCTTATTATTAATCTTGAAGAAATCCAAAAAATCTAATTTATAACACACATAAAACAAATTGAAAAACAACATTGATTTGGTGAGAATCCTTTTGGTTACCCATATTGTACCATTGCCTATAAACTCCATTCAAATTTCCAAAACATCAGAAAGGCTATTATGACAAAATGTTTCAGCTCTGAAATCATAAACAAAGAATTCAAGTTCGGTAACATTAAAAATTCTTGCATAATAATCACAACGTGACCATGTGTTTTGGTCTTCAAAAGAAGGTACCATAAACATAGTATTAAGCTCGTAGTAGTCATCCCAGCTCTCGCCTCGATCCAGTTTGTTGTAAAGACAGATGTAGATTGCTGCAGTAAGTCACTAAACAAATATCACACAAACTCGGGGTATTTAAAAAACAATAATAATCTCTCAAAACAAAACCAACAAAAAAAGAGAAAATTTATTAAATTAGAAGGAAAAGTGCAAAAGTTCTACTCTTACATCTAATTCAAAACTAAAACAACATTTTAATAAAATAGCAGTGCATCCCCTAATTTGTGCTGATCTTGAGTCCAAAAAGAAAACAGAGATGAACAAGATTCTGATGACTCATAAATTCCATAAAAATGCAACCAATTGTCAATGAATGAAGAATCTAACAACGCAACAATGTAACATACATATTTCTCCAATGGATCTCTTGTCATGGCTGAACGGAGACAATGGTGCGTGCGGACAAGATGAGTGCAAACATTTTCCTTCACCTTTGTCTTGCCAAATATGTTGGAGCAATTGGAGTGAGTTACCAACAGACACCACAGGTTTCACCAGTAATATACATTATTAATAGTATTAATATATTATTATGTCAGATTGTAATTCAGATTAATTTTAATAACATGATTATAATATTATACATTTACATTTGTAATACATTATTGTTACATAATTATACTATGACAGAGGTCAATAATATTGTTTGATTAAATCTTATTCCATATCTGATAACCTCCGAGCTCGTGATGGTGGGCCCGTCTAGGCAAGCGACAAGAATCAAACTCTTGTCCAAAATCAAACAAGCACGACATAAAGATGACGTGTCCTCACTTGATGACGACAAAGTTACCAAATACACTCAAACCTCCAATAAGTTGTGGCCAAATATAACACTGGTGGATAAAGGTGGTAAAGAGTTAGTAATGGATTAGGTTAGTTGGGATTTTAGTGAAGATTTGAAAAAGATTAGCTAAAAATCACTTGCCACCTACCGCACCTTTTACAACAATCTGAGGTTATAAGTTAGCTAATCAACTTATGAGAGGGACAATTAAAGGGAGGTTTGGATATACATGTATTCAGACAACCAAATACATGTATCCAGATGCATCCGTTGTATTCATGTATTTGGATGTACTAGTACATGCTGTAACTGAGGTTGCGGCATCTTCCTGCCTCACACGATCATGTTTAATAGAATACAGCTGATTACATCTATGCGTATTCTGAATACATATACATATATTCTATATCTGATGGAATACATCTGCTTGTCCAAAGCTTGTGGTGGTGGGCCCTATCTGACATCACTTTCTCGCAATGCACACCACGCAGAATGAGAGCGATTGATGCGTCGGAGCTCATGGATTGATTTCAATCTGTGGTGGTGCTGCTGATCGGGAATAGCTGGAGCTCGATCGATGGCTCTTAAGCGGAAGGAGTCTGATCTCACTGATGATGTAAGTGGGCCGATCCAACCTCACCCCCCTCATGTGCCTGCTGCTTTGTTTCAAGGTTTAGCTGCATTTGTGAATTTTGGAATCGAATCATTTGGAATTTTATTTGTATTTTTTAGAACTTTCATACAGATTCATCACCACCATGATGATGGTTTTTAAGATTTAGGTTTATGTAGGAGGTGCATTTGTGAATTTTGGAAATTGAATTGTATTGGACTTTCATAATTACACATTATCATCATCATGGTGGTGGTGATGGATCTGTATGAGGGTCTAGGTTTATACCAGTTCATTCATGTGTGTTGTGCATTTTTTTCTAAGTTCAAAAAATAAAGTAAAATATTTTTTCTTGCTTTGGTTGTATTTTGGATGTTGGTTGAAATGGAGGGATTTGTGGATCGGGCATCATGAGGGTGATGTGTCTGTCTTTTGTGGCTAGGATTTAGGTTTATGGATTTGCATGTGGTGTGAGTTTTGATGATAATTAGTGGTGGATGCTTTGGCACCTTGGGAGAGATAATTCACTTAATCCCTGGCTGATCTTTTTAATATTTTTTCTGCTGATAGGTTTACAAGGGAGGGTTTAGATGTGTGATTCTTTCTTATGTAGGTTTATTGTGAAAGTTGAGGAGATTGTGCGGGAATGGCAAATTGTTTGGGTGTCTGCTCTTGAGGTGAGTAACTCTAATAAACCCTGTACTATTTCGGGCAATGCAATAGACTTTGCGAATTTGACGTGCTAAATCGATAGTATGATCTTCAAACACAAAATGACACCTCTATGGTTTTATAGGATTCAGGTACAGAAGTTGAGGGCACACTTGGGCTTTATAAAGTTCACCAAGAGCTACCTTATGACTCTAAAAACTATGGAATTGATTACTACTTCCAAGTCAACAATGAGGAGCGTAAGTTAATCTCTCACTTTCATATATCAACTTCTTTACGTTGAATGTGAATGTAAACGTTCACATAAGCTTGAGGTAAAAACAATTCTGAGGTAAATGACATGCTTTAACCTTAAAATTAAATAGACACTAATTAGTATAAAATCTGATCAAGGTAGATTTCCTCCACATGCATCTCATGAAAACTTTGAATTTGTCCAATATTTGCAGGTAGTAGAGGTGAATGGGAGGACGGTCTGCTTCCCTCGCAACTGTGTCAAGGCATTGTGGATTTTCTGGTGGGTCTTTGATTTCAAAACATGTGGATCAATTCAAGAGGCTTTCAAGTTGTTATAGCTAATGACAGTAGAGACACCTCAACTCTTTAACGTCAGTTGGGAACCGTATATACAGGCATGTATTATAACTCTGTAGAAAACAATTTATGTATCAAAATCTAGGAAGACTTACAACTTTGAATTGTAGATTCTTCAAGTAACATCTTTCAATTGGAGGTCATTTCATTATGTGAACCTTCTGATGTTGAAATACGACATCATACATGTAGAATACCGTGGCCACAAGTGGCACCTTCTGACGTTTAAGGGTTGTGCCAGTCACATATCTGAATATGCATCTGATGGCTGGAGGTTGTCTCACCTATGAGCATGAGTGGTGTGGTTCTGGATGCTCCAGGGGCGACACTCCTCTTGAGTACCATGGCTGTTGCTCTATCTAACTGCGGCAGGTTTGTTTCTGACATTTAGCCTTGGATATGACCTTGTAAGAAGGGCTTTAATTGAGTGCATGTTGTTTGGAAGTAACTTGGCAGCCTTCGTCCCTGTGCATGTTCCTGCATGGAAAGCATATTATGGAATTAGAGGAAAAAGCCTTCAGTGCGAGATACGAAACAGATCGCTTGGGGAGCTGCATTCCAGAGGAATTTTCGCAATTAGTCGGCTTGTACAAATTTTTCAATACGGAAGTGGTAAGACTAACCTGCTGCTTCTGAGTATCCTGGACGTATGCATGAAATTGTTTAGTGCAGATGGTTGGACACACTACATCTGAGGTTGGCCTCATGTGGGCTGTGAAGGCTTTTGCAATAGGGGCTTCCGACCTCCCGTCATCGGATGTGGAATTCACAACGTAGTTAACATACAGGATGCCCATGCCAGGCTTCAAATTTCGTGAATCTGATGCTTAGCCCATCTTAAATTATGATGATGACCTGTTTGACGAGTTGGCTTGGGATGAGGATTGTGCTTGGGCTGAGTGGCATTCAGTGGAGGATCCTGTGAAAGGTACCATCACTAGGCAGTCTTTTTTATCATGATTAATTACAGTGTAAGCCAACTGACATTTTGCTGTCCAGGATATGAGTCAATTTGCTGCTGAAGAATGCATCAGAGGCGACTAATTATGAAAAGCTGTCCCCTACAGAAGCAGACAAGTGGGCTCTCACTATAGTCAAAGTCAAGGATCAGTAAGTAAAGTGTTATCTTTTGGTGGTTTAAGTTTGTATTATTTTCAAGTTCTAGCACATGATCGGGAAGGACGTTAATCTTGAAGGATTTTGAATTCCTGAGGTATTGTACATTGGAACTGTCGATATCATGGCATGGCTTTGAATGCGGCTGTTTGTTGTTTGCACGGCAGGCACGAATGAAACTGAGTTTGTTGGCTTTGCAGGACGTCTGTGAGCTCTAATGGACGCCTTTCATGTCTCCTCTCAATCTCATTTTGTTGAGGACTTTGCGGCTGGTGCGAATACTAGCCCTAAATTTCCATATTGTATTTCACAACTTAGATCTCAGTTTAAGACCATAATAATCTTTCTGTAAATTTTGGTGTACTCAAGCTTTCTAAGGTGTTGAAATTTCTAAATGACACGCTTAAATTTTCCTGTAGATTCTTTAAATGTCAAGCACTTGATGCATCATCCCATGGTTCCACAGCCAACTGTGCTGGAGCATGTCATCAAGGATCTATTTGAAGAAGGTAAGAGCTTTCTTCTATCTTTCCCTGAGTCAAATGTAACTTACTACCTGAAACTGAGACTTGTTTGGGCTTCTTTCAGACACATCAGATGAGCAAGGTGGACACATCAATCATAAAGCTATCAAAGCAGCACCTTTAGATTCTCTAATTTCTCTGTTTTGCCTTCATGCCCTTCAATTCGACACCTGCAACATCCGAGGTACTGAAAATACTAGTTATTGTATTCAATATTGAAGGTATCTTCCTTAATTTTTTGTGTGGATACATCATTATGCAGCCATAGCTGTCCTGTGGATCGATTTCGTCTGGGAGGTCCGCTGGTGCTGGGATGAAGGCTATCGGCTGCCAAGGTGTCTGTGGATGGATCCCCTGATCTGGAATCATGTTTACTACATCAAAAGCTGCAAATGGTACAATTTATACCTGCGGTTTTGTTTTCAGGAATGTCTTTGTGAAGAGACATTTATACTTGGGGCGAGTTTTATACTAAGAAGGATTGTCTTTCTGTTTTCAGCTTGCCTTGTGTATTGAGGAGAAAGCATCACGGCTAGGCGCCATTAAGGAGGATCATGGTTTTCAGGTGAATATCTGATTTGATGCTGCAGAGTGCATACATTCCTGCAGAGAACAATCTAAACTGTTGACTGGTGTTGCAGGATTTGGCAGTAAATGGAATCGATGACGCAACCAAAGACATGGATGTTGAGAGGGAGGGTTCAGCCGGACAGGTGGGCAAGCTGATGCCTCTGGGAGCAGAAGCGCAGCTTACACGCTCTCACTCAGGTACTAGCCCTTAAACGTCAGTTGTAAAACGTATGTACGATGCACTTAGTTTACTATGTAGAATACAGAAAATGTTTTGAAATTTAGCAAGACTTACACCTCTGGATTGAAGATTCTTCAACTAACATCTTTCATTTGGAGATTGTTCCAATAAGTGAACCTTAACAAGTTTCAAAATATGACATTATTCATGTAGAATACGGTGGCCACATTCTCACGTTTAAAGGTTAACCCTTAAAGATCAGTGGAGGTCCACATATACGGTCATGTGTTTACTTTTAACATACAAAGAATGTAGTAAATATAGCAAGACATACACCTTTGGGTTGAAGATTGTTCAACTACCGTACCCTAGGGTCAAGTCCAGCAAAAAATATCTATAAAAATAGCTGCCAGAAAATTTTGAAAATTTGAAAAAAGAACATCAAACTTTTTAAATAGTGAAAAATAGAATTTTGAAGAATATTCTATTTTTAGACACTTGCTGAAGTTCTATTTCGGGATAAAAATAATTATTCAGAACAAGAGTGCCGAAATTGACCCTAGTGTACATAAATGTTTTTCATTTGGGGGTCATTTCAAAATCTGAACCTTATCATGTTCAAATATAACATCATATTTGTAGAATACATGACCATTTTGCAACTTCCATGACCATAGTAGGTGGAATATCGATCCTAATTCAAAATGTCATGTGTCATTGGATCAGGCTCAACATGGATACAAATTTATGTAACTACCATATACATTAATTCTTATGCCTTGTTTGTCAAATACAAAAAAAACATCAAGTTGCAACCCAAATGTGGCTTCTCTGGCCTTTAAGGGTTAATCAGACATATTAAAAATCTTGTTGCTTGTTTCAGAAACATCCAATATTGACCAAGGACATGCTAGAGGAGCGCAAGCACACATGACCACACTATGAGACCTGGTGTGTTTTGAAGAAATTGACTTCTTTTTCTTCTGATAAAATTAGTCTGTTGAAATTCCATAAAAATGACTTCTTTTCCTTCCAATAAAATTAGCAGGTTGAAATTCCATATACTTCCTATATCATCTAGTGATGTCTTAGCTCATATATTCATGGTTGGTTATAGGATGAATTGATAGTCATGAGCATAATGTACTGGCATCCTTCGCATGTGCAATGATCCTTGATTGTCATACATGATGCATGTTGCTCCTTACACAAATTTGACATTCCCCAACAACTTTCTCTATTATATGGCCTCCTTTGTGCAATGGCTTGTAGCCTTGTATTTTGTCTCTGTAGTAGACAAGACAATTGTTGGTTGCCTCTTACAATTCCATAAGATGGTTTCCATCTCAATAAAGAACATGTAACCTGTCATAGAGCCCTGACAATAAATCTCACCCTCGTCTTCAATGCAAACATTGTTCAGTGGAGGCCCAATTTTCTGAAATGCCTATTTTCACCCCTTTACATTCTTTTTGTGGGATTTTTTTTTCCAAAATTGGGGTTTGCAACTCCAAATTGGTCTAAGGGACCTTGTTTTGGATTTTTTTTCAATGGCAAGAGGGAGTTTGATTTTAGGGGGGGCCCCATAACAACCACAAAATAGGAGCCAGGTTTTCTATTATAGAGTGACTTGCATTGAAGATGAGGGCGAGGTTTATTGTCAGGGGTCATAGAGTGGCATTCAATTGCATCTTGTGCACATAAAAAATAGCTTCATTGATTAATTAGGTTTTCTTCATATTAATTTCCTTTATAATTAATAATATTAATATTAAGTTAGAAAGGTAGTAAATAGAGTTATGTCTTTTTAACTTATTTTAATTATTTTGCATTTGGTGATTTGATCACCATATTAAAATGAAAATAATGTATATATTTATAAGAGAGTAGATATTATTTGCTTTCCTTAGAAAATAAATTTTCCTTTTAATTACTATGAAAGCGACCTCTATTGGTTTTTTTGAAAATGTAGGCTAATTATCATGTATTTCAAATACTAGTGATTAAATGGAGGGTCAAGAGTAGTTTTTGACTTGTTTGAAGTGAAGGACCAATTGAAATCTTTGAAGATTTACCAAGAATGGTTAATTCTAAAATTGAAAAACTATAATAAAATCACTATAATAGTTAATTTTGGATATTTTGAAATGTGGATTTGGGCAAGTAAATAGTCTTTGTTCAGGTAAAAACGTGTTTTGAACGTATTGGTGGTATTAATTTTGCCAAAAAGTATAAATTTGTGATTCACAAGGGATCCAGCCCAAAAATCGAGTTTATGGTAGGTGGTTTTTGGACCTTTGATTTTAGGATAGGATTTGTAAATTCAAGGGTGGGGATTTAGTGGTCATCCTTAGGGACTTTTAGCATTGGGATTAGGAGGTTCCAATAGCTTCTTTCCCTCTCTCTTTCCATTTTCTATGGCGAAGCTATGCCAAAGTTTTGTGTGGGTGTTAATTCAATAAACTTTCAATCTAATATGCATTAGCCTTGGTTTTTGAAGTGCCATTTGTTTTTTCTTCAATATTTCATTGGAAGATTAAGGAAAAATCTTCTTTTAGTCACTAGCTTTCCAACAACATCAAACAGGCTTGATTTGAAGCTAGAATTGAATTTTAATGGATTTTCAAAGTTGTTAGGATACACTAACCGTGGCTGAAGAGAACGTCAACTTCATAAAATCATAACGTCATGATTCTTTCAAATTTCTTATGTAATTTAATGTTCCCAAATGTATGCTGAAGTCTAGTTTTCTATAAAGTTTAAAGTATAAATACTTAAGCATTGGTGATTTTTTTAATACATTTTTAAGAACAAAGAGATCTACTACCTTGGTAAAACAAGGGTAGTACAACTCTTTAAGTTTTGAAATTTTTTACCTCCATAGTCATTCACTTTTAGATGGTTAATTCTTTATAGTCTAATTTTAAAAACTTTTAAAAATGATTTTTCACATATTTTTTAATTTATATATATTTTTAGGTGTGTGGAGGTTTTCTACCCTTATTTATAAGGTCAAATTTAGATTTTTATACCTTAAGTGTTATTTAGAATTTTGTAGTGTGGTTTGTTGCATTATATGCATGCTAGAGTTAGTTTGGAAGATTATTTTTCTTGAAATTTTGGTATGTATTAACAAGTGGGGGCTCATTTTCAAGTGACTTGCATTGAAGACGAGGGCGAGGTTTATTGTCAGGGCAACAACTTGAAGCGAAGCGAAGACTTGCTGATTTCAATGCACGGGATGCAAACATAAAGCAAATGTCAAACATCCACATTCTCTGCCAGACTTTACGTGTGTCTCGATGCCCCACAAACGTACGCCCAGCTGTTTGCGCCTGATTGTGATTTGAATTCTTTGTGCCGGATCAGTAATCGGGCTCGCCACGGTTTGTCTCCCGTCTTAGGATGCAGTGTATCGCATTCTTGGATTTGGGTGTGCTGCAGACCTCTGAGTTGGCTAGGGTTTTCTTATCTTCCTTGCGCTAGGATTTCTGTTTTTCCATGCGCTCATGTATAATGTTTGATTTTGCTCCTTCCGAGTCTACATCTTCGTTTCGTTGGGTAGCTTCGTTGATGGGCGTGATTGACAAGAATGATCCTGGCGGAGGTAGAGAGCCTTTCTCACGACGGGCAGTTCCATCGCTTGACCTTAGCTTGATCGCTTTCTTCTGTTCTATTACTACCCTCGCCTTCCTCGTACCGGTAAGTTACTCTGTCGCTGTTGAGCTCTTGAGTCGTCCACAAGTATCTCATTGTTGTCTAGCTTCGTTTCCTCTTGCACTTCCAGCGCCGGTTTGCTTTTCCAGGGGTCGTTGATTTTCTTGGCCGGGGTCAGCCGCCCCTCCATGTTTCGTGTTTCTGCGGTGAATTTCGAGTCTCTATGGTGAATATCAGGGTGATTATTTATGTTGTTATGGAATAAGTTGTGAGGCATGATTCGGGAGGGTTTAGGAGTGGCTGGCGTGCGCGCCGTGAGGTTTGATTGTGGTTTCGCAGCTGATTTTTCTCTTTCTGCTTGTTGTGTCTGTCGGGGTTTGTTTTGGCTGAGCGGAGTTTTGTATGCGGAGTTTTGAATGCATTTCGAGCACTGCTTTCGTTTACGTGTGACAGCGTTCTGATGAATTGCTGCTGAGGTTGCATGTTACAGGTGGTGGTCACGTAGGCATTTCAAGACAATGGATACCGAAATTGAAGACGTGAAGCAAGAGATTAGGAAAGTAGAGCAACAGATTATTTATGCGGAAGAACAAGTGACGCAGGCTGCCACAGAGGCCGCGTTTGCTTACTGGGGGAAAAAGGAGGAGCAGTTGCGGAAAAAGGAGGAGCAACTGCGGGCAAAGGAACTGCTGCTGCTCAAGGCTGATATTTCAGGTAAAATCACTTGTTCTAACACTTGATTATATCCACTTCTTCCCTTTGACTAGGAGTCCTATTAGGATCTTGTCCGGTTCATATTCATGGGCGAGGGTTCAGTTCATGGTTATGGAATAAGGGTTGGCGTAGGGGTAGCACCTCCTACAGGTATGATTCTCCTTCTTATCTTGGTAACTTAATCAATATCTTAAGTCCTGAAGCATGCATTCTTACAAACTCCTATTCCTGGTATGTTTTTTTGAGTAGAACAATTGGGTTTTTTGTGATAGCTTGTTCGATGCTTTATTCCACGACTGATAGAGGTCTGTCGTTTTCAATCTTTCTGAATGTTGTTCTTGGTCTTACTGTATTCGCACTCTAGGGTTCTCTAGTTTTCACTCAATGCCAGCAGTTATTGTTCCCCACCCCCCTGTCCTCTTCTTCTTCTGGTACTTCTTGGTCATGTAGGTTATGCAAGTACACCTGGAAGTACATATCCCAATTTTATTCGGTGTTTGTCATTCAGAGACACTTGCATGTATTCAAATTGAAAAGTGATATGTTTCAATTTTTCCTCCAGTGAACCTGTTAAGGGTTTTACATGTGTCTGCATGGTACTTATCAATTAGTTCTCGAACTCATGGGTAACTGGTGATGGTTTTCTTCATGAAGCCACCCTCCCTCCCTCTGTTTGAACTTATGGTACTTAACCTCAGACGATTATTACCTAATAAAGAGTTACTGATGGCTGGTGTTTAATAACCAGCTAACACACTCCCGCAACTCACCTGATTTCGGCCTTCTCTTGCTGCCACTTTACGCCTCGGTATCGGTGCCTTAATGCTGTTCCTGCGATATATACCAAGCCACCACTCTTTCTTCTTCCCTGCGGTCACTGAACGCGTTGAGATGGTCGGTGTGGAATTCTATACCTTGAGGGTTTTTCGTTTCTAGAGGGGACACTACTCTTTCACAATTGCTACACAGGTTTCCGAAACCGTAGGTAGTCTGGTCTGCTTATTTAGGCTCGCATCTCTATGTATGTATACTTGTTTTGTGGTTTATGCAGCTGCTCAACAGGATGCACTGGACCCTTGTAGCGCAAATTTTAAGTTGTACATTCTAAACTAAAATCTGCGGCGACAGCACTGTCAGATTGGCCCGTAGAGTAGGGACTATTTTGCCGTGTTTTAACCTGATCCTGTCTATTTTTATGTCTGCAAGTCTGATGAGGAGGAGGCTCTTTTGGTAGTGTTTCTAATTTGATTTTTGTTGAGCGGGCATCTGACATTTTCTATTCCATCACACCTGTTCGAGGTTTGGGTTTCCTCTTGTTTTGCGACTTCAGTAATTAAGAATCTCCAGTGCGTGTGATTACTTGAACGGCCTAGAATGTGGCTCATGGTTGTCTTATGGTTGTATTGCATTGTGAATTAGGGCATGCGTCAGAGCCTGTCGCTGAAGTGGTGAAACAGGTTAGCTTACGGCTAGGATGCATAGAGCAGACTCTCGTGAAACAGGAACAGACCCTCGTGAAACAGGAACAGACGGTTGTGAAAAAGCTGGAAGAGTTGCGTTTACAGCTGGATTCAAGTTCCTCCTCTATGGCGTCAATGAGTGATGTTGATAAAGGTATTCGAGTAAGTAAAAGCACTGTGAGGCTCATTATGCCGAAACCTTTGTCTGGTGAGGAGGCAGAAGGTTTATGGCCAGAAGATTGTTGGAAAAATTTGAAGGGGCTGAGTCCAGAGAAGTACTTTAAAGAGCTTCTGAGCGGACTGAGAGATGATGCTTCGACATGTTGGAAGATAAAATTTACAGGGTCTTCTCCATCTGTTTGTGGGCCCGTTTTAAAGCCAGATGTTCTGATTTACAAACGACCTCCATCAGCTGGGGTTGATCCAATTCCCTTAACGACTGGGGTAATACTTGAGCTCCAGTCAGGTGGGGGTAAGTACAACAGCTATTTCAATATTGGAAAAGCTGCAAGATACGGAGAGAAGATGTTGGAGAGCTTAATGGGTTTCAGGCGCTCGGTACTAGTAGGCGTCACAGATTTGGAGATGGTGCAATGGTTTAAGGTCATCATGGAAGATAAAAAGAGGTTCACGTATGAAGTGCACGTTGAGTTAAACGATGTGCGTGGGTCCCTGTGCGCCCTACTGAAGAGCAGTCTCAGCGACCTTGAGGTTGAAGTGCCAGTACTAAGTGTATCCAGGGTCGAGTACGAGCCAATCCGTTTTCTGGGGTCTGGAGCTACAAGTAATGTTCTCTGTGTGAAAGACGAGGATGACAGAGAATATGCGGCAAAAATTCCGCTTCATGGGAAGAACTTGCAGAATGACTATCGAATGCTTACTTGCTTGAATGATGTGAAAGGAGTGCCCAAGGTGCTAGGCTGGTTTGACGATGAAAAGTCCCTGCGAATCCATCCAGTAGGGGAAAGGATATCGCATAAGTCAATTTCCAGTCGTTGGTCATTGGTGCCAGGGCTCGTGGATGTTCTTGAAAGGGCGCACGAGCACGGCATCATTAATCGCGATGTGCGGCCGGACAACATCATGATTGCCAAAAGAGAGTTAGAAGAGACTGAGATGCTCTATATCCTGGATTGGGGTTATGCTGTTACTAAGAAAAAATCTTCTTGCTTCAGTGGAGGAGTGATGTATGCCTCGGAGCGGATTTTAGAACAGTTGGCAGAGGGTGATCACCAAGTTGTGGTCGATGAACGGGATGATACTGAAGCGCTTGTCCACACCATTTTTGCATTAAGATATAGGGAGAAGCACAAAATGTTACGAGGGTTGAATCGCCAGGACTTTGATGAAATCCGGAGATTCTGGAGCGTGTGTTACGATGAGCATCCAGGATGGCAGTCAGCTTGGACGGCTGCACGTTCTGGGGATTATGTCGAACTGAAAAGGGAGCTTCAGAAGATGGTCCTCAATTCCTGTTTATCATAGTGACAGTCGCTTCTGCTCACAAGGACGATGCTATAAATTTGTTGTCCTGGCAGCGATGTACTGGAAGTTTCCACCTTCAACCTAGAAAATCCTCTAACATGTGTTGCCGTTATTGACACCCTCGTTGATTTATCACCTTTGTAGATCTTTCTGCATGCCATACAGGAGGTGTTCCGGGAGCTTGGTCTTTTAGTTTTTGAAGAATTGGTGGCGAAGTTCGCTTAGCCAGAGTTTTGAAAGTTCAGGATTGGTGGTTGCAGTGCATGATTGTTTAGGGGAATTCGGTGGAGTTTTATTTGGCGATGTTCGTGAATGGAAGCGCCTGTACGGACCTTGTTTTGCCTTGAGCCGTGGTCTCTTACACTGTCGTTGATATATGTCCTTGTTTTGAGATCGAGTCCCGCTTAATGTAGTAGGCTCAGGTCAAACTGTGGCTTCTTGCTTTCTGAAGGACCTTGTGATGGCGTTTATGAGGGCAACCTAGCACATTGACGCTGGCATGTGTGTGTTTGGATCAATTTATACACAGCTGCAGAAAAGTTGTATGCCATTGTACACCATTGTTCAACGAAAGCCCAAGCCAGACTCGAGAGGCGAGTGATATTTCAGCGTCATGAGTAGACGTTGGGGTTGCGAAGATTTGATCACGCTTAATTGAGCTTTTGTTCAGTTGCACCGTTTGGTTACAAGACTTAAGAATTTCAGAGTTTTGGTATGTGTTGCACTTTGCGAGCAAGGAAGTCTTGTATTGTTATGGTCAGTATGTGGAGGTATGTGGTCAGTATGTGGAGGTCAGTATGTGGAGGTCAGTATGTGGAGTTGCTGACCGACCTGCTGGCGCAAAATTAAACTAGACGTGATCAAGATACCAAGGGTCTGATTCTACCTCTTTTCTAGGCTGCTAGGATTCTGAGTTTGCTTCATTATGACTGGAGATTTTGTAGGAGTATCACGAAGAGGAAAAGTGTCGCATGCTCAGATGGTGGTGGAAGTTTTTCACAATCATTTTTTGAATTACAAGACAGCAGGGCCCTGCTGTCTTTTTCGATTTGAGCCGTTGAGATTCTGTAACTTTACTGCAGGATAATTTTCTTCTTGCTGGTAGTATGTAACCACCTTTCATTGCAAACTGACTTTGGAATCCGTATTGATCTTCATTATATTTAGGGAACTTTTGTCTTGTTAACTTTTAGTAATATGGTGGACTTGCTGTTGTAGTTAATATTGCATATGACCACGCAAGGAATAGCCTGCATACGTTAATATTTATGAGAAACTCCTATTGCGAAAGTCTTCTGTTGTTATCTTAACAGATTTTGCGTTATGTATGATGCACAGTATTGCGTGCGAAGTTATGAAGCGCTGGCATTAAGCGTCCTGTTTTGAGTAACTTGTACCACAACCCTGTAAGCAGAAATGGAAGTTTGATTTACATGGCAAAATGTCCTCACTAAGTCCTGCTCATTCTTTGATTCCAAACAAGCAGTGTGGGTTGGAATTAAGAAACATTGATGAGGAACTCTAAGCCCAAGCATGTTCTTATTTGAATCAGCGGTCCTCGTCAATTAGTGCCAGATGATATGCCGCCATCTCCTCTAGCTGGCATAATTGTTGGTTTCCGGCGCTATTGATTGTTGAGTAAGTTATTGGCTTTCAACTTGCGTGCTAAAAGAATCCCTGTTCTTTGTGATGTGCAACGTCGGAGTTGTAGATGGATTCGTGATCTTCTTGTTTTGTAGGAGTGTGTTCGTAGCAATCGCCAAGGGGGACAAAGAAATGATGAGGTTGTGAGTATCTGGCGATACAGTATTGCCCGTGGATATGAACTAGGCCCTTTTTCTCTAATATGACAGGTTACAGTAATTGCGGAAAGGCAGAATTTCAAAACAGGAACGACCCAAAACGTGATCGTACGTTCTTATTCTAGTTGCTGATCCTATTGTGACATGGGTAGCAGTTAAGGATTCCCGTATTTTCAGATGTACGGACGTAATTTTGGATGCTGGGGTGCTCTGGAAGCCATTCACTGAATTTCTCATGAGAGATTGTATGCGACAAACGCTCTGTAAGTTTTTCGTTTCATGGTCGGTATCGGTGTTGGTGTTGTTTTGCTCAACTAGTAGAGTATTCAGAGCATATTTAGGTGCTCACAATCATCCTCCTCGACGCATACCCACTTTCTCAAATTTATTACTCGAACCTTATTTGCCTTTGCAATATAATTTTCCAGCTGTGGATTATCAGAGACCGGGGAAGTGCTACTTCATCTGCACTGATTCATTAGCAGATGTGGATCTTGAAGATCCCAAAATTGAGTAGTTTACAAATGTTCAAGCCGCAGGATGTCTTATCATGCACATCAACACCGTGACAGGTATGGCCAAGTATACTTCTATGTGAGTTAGGTCGACCAGTATTTTGGTGTGATGTCAAACTCATAATAAACTTCAGTCTTGTCGATTGAACGTTCCCTAGGTAACATACATCAAGGAATATAGGTTGTCAAATTACTAGTTGATTTACACCTTGATAATCTGAAGTCCACCTCATACTGCTATTTGTGTTTGCAACAGATTGCAATTGCATTTTTGAAAATCCATGACTACAGACATTCATTTACAAATGAGGGACGAGATCAAGGATATTGATGATTGACTTTGCAAGGTTCATAAATTTTGAGCCAGTCATATGATTTTACTGCAATCTTGTCTTTGATAGCAATTCAGCGGGATGAAGGTGTTGTTATGTAGCTATGGAGTGGACTTGACAATGCTAATGAAATAGATTCACAAAATTTTGAGTGCCACTTGATTACTTCCAACGAAGTAGTCGCCCTTGTGTGTAGTCTTGAATCACTTCTTTTTTTTATCAATGCTATTATACTTAGTGGTCAATATAGCAATCTTAACTGGCGACAAATTAGCAGACTCTGCTTGAGTTCCATTTGCAAGGTTGAAAATATTGTCTCTTATCAAAACAATAGCGTGTATTTTTAGAAGATATTTCCACCTCGTGAGGTGGATTCCCTGCACGCTGTTCAGATTCCCGAGTTCGCAATTGTCTTGTTTATGCTACTAGATCTTTGTACTTTGTGGATAGTGTCAGGTTCCTTGAGTTGAATAATGTTCCTCATTTTACTGAGTGCAAGCAGAGATGTGTTTGATGTGTTCTTTATTCTGTCTATTTGTACTCGTGCTTACAAAGTGAAGGAATTGTGTTGCTTTGGAACGGCAGACTTTGGACGATTCAGGGGAAAGGATGACCCCTATAGATGTAAGTGGTTGAGATGCTACCCGCTAATGTGTCCAAAGGGAAAGTGGACGGCAAAGCGGTGCCCTTCTTGATGTTTTTATATGCATGGTACCTCCATGAACTTCACAGCTAGGTTTGCAAGAAGATTAAAGGCTAGAAATAAGGCAAAGATCTGCAAAATTAGTGTTCTTGAGCAGAATGCTAATGAAAATAGTGACTATATTGACAAGATAAAATACCTTCCTTTGCAGGGCTACTCTACACTTGCAGATTCAAATGTTCTGGGAAGACATGGCAATGAAGGGCACTTTCCTGGTGAATCATAAGGTATACAACTTGAACATGCAAACCAATGTTTGATCTTGAGAAGTTGAGATGATGCATTAGGAGTAGCTCCAGAAACCAACCATGTAGTTTGGTATCCGACTTGAACATATCCATTTGTGTCTATAGACCTAGTAGTAGATCTTGGTTTATACAATAGGTAGAGGTTGAAATACGGCCAGGTCGCACATCATGTCCATTGATATACTGGTAGCTAGAGTAAAAATGCAGGATATGGTGGTAAAGAATATGAAAAGGCAGGCTGCAAATAATATCTTTCAATATACTATAATGAAAGTGAAGTCAGCATGATTACCTTTTCAAATTGGCACTGTCGGGAAAGGTTCGCCTTGAAGCAAATTAATACAACCTAATTGTACAGCCAAAAACAAAGTTTTTCAGCCCATTTATAAACACGGGAAAAACACACAAAAAAAAAGCTATATAGAGGATATAGAATCCAAACTCTTTGAATTAGATGAGAATCACAACGTTCTTGACAACTAAATTATAAATCCATCACTAAGTTCTTTTAGGAAAAAAAAATATTAGTTCTATCTTCAATTACATAAAGACATCACATTTCAAGTGTGCACCAAAAATATGGAGACATTATGCCTGGTAATATGAAAGCATCCCTTGTTATTGAAAGGACTGCCACTCTTGTGGCTGGACAAGGTTATTTTCCATAACCAGAGGCTGCTTTTACATTACTTAGTCCAAAACTTAAGTGACGTCATGCACACACAAATTTAGCTAGACATGTTAATAACAAGAAAACCCATGCGCTATACAAGACAGTGCATGTGTTGTATGTGAAACTTAGGAATGTAAGGACACCTATTTCAAGCAAATGACCAGCACAACATCCCTGAAGACAAACATGAACCCGCCATTGAGTTATCTAATGATGTGTTAGTGTTTGCCTCTACTGACGTTACAACATCATCTTTGAAGAGTGCAATGAAAGAAGACAACAACATCATCTTTATAAAACTGCTGTGGTGGTTTGTCAAGTTAGTACAACTTAGTACAACAACTGCTGAAAAAGAGAAAAGCCTCCTTGGAAGGAGGCAGAATATCTTCTTAGTATTAGAGCAGATGGTGAGAGAATTTTACAAGAACCGGCTTTCTTGCTTGCCGTTGAGAAGCGTAAAAACTATGCAGATACTATCAGTAGCATACACAGGAGAACCATAAAGAAGGAGATAGCACAAGAGGTACCTATTATACCTGATGGACCATCACGTGATCCTAAGGATTGTACATCACCACAACGCCAATTTTCATCAGAAAAGAGTTCATTTCCAAAAGCCCTGCTCAGGTGCTGCCTCTTCCATTTGCAAACTCAAGTTGCGTCGGTCGGATCTATCAACCTAAACCAAAATTCCTTAGGTACAATATACATGGCATGTCACACATTGTTCAATGACTCAAAAGTATTATGTTTATACTGATTTCTCCACAGTATAAACATAATCCTTCTTGACGACGATAAATCTTTTCTTGCTCAGTAAGGGGTTTAAAACGTACTGCGTCAATTTGCATGTCTTCTACTTCCGAATGTACGTTTGGCAAAGATGCTGATGTTGCCATTGAGTAATAACGTTAAGGTTCCCGTGTACGACTCTCGGATCAAAATTCAAAAAGTCGATTGTCATATTTTACCGCAAAATCGATTGCTTGACTCAAAGTTTGAGGATCAGGTAAGTTGAGCATCAATTTCTTTACTTCGTATTGCAATCCATAAAGAAATTGACTGATGAGTGCAGCATCATCCCACTTGATGTCAATTGCAAGTTATCAAAATTGTGAAGCATACAATGTTACTGAGCGATTTTTTTGTCACAGAATTCTGATCTTGTTTCTTGCAACACGAGTTGCATCGTATCACCATACATAGATCGAAATTCTACCAAAAAAGCTTCCAAATTATCCAATATTGGATTTTGTTGTTCAAGAAAAGACGAAAACCACGATAATGCAGAATCAGAAAGTAGAGTGCCAATAAACCTGACTTGTGATCCTAGAGTTGGATAGCTTTGCGGTTGAAGTTCAATTGCCAATTGTACTTGATTGATGAATCTTTGAAACTTTGATCTTGTACCATCAAATTTCTCGAGTAAAGCAATTCTTGGTTCTCTAGTGCTTACAGGGTGTTGTACAATTGGAGAAGGAACGTGATTTGGTACAGATGTTGAAGCAGCTCCGATCATCTCTATATCCCCACTTTCTGCTATTCTTGTTCTTTCTTGTGTTGGTGAATTGAGTTGATGCATCGCAAGCATTAACTCCCTCAATTGTTCTTGCATTTGTGCCATTGCACTCTTCATTTCAACAAGCTCTGCCATAATGATACTAAGAAGAAAAATTTGTCGGATATTGCTCAAGACAAAAAAAAAAGAAAAGACTTGATAACAAAGAAGATACTAAGAACAATATCAGTTTAGAAGTGAGTAATCCGCAAACTTCTAATACGCTTATGTCTTATCAAGAGAAAGGGGTAATCCACTCTTACTCAAGGAAAACAAAGCTCTGATATTATAAGTGTACTCTTGTCAATCTGTCAAGGACAAAGACTCAATGAAGGAAATATACACAAAAGGTCTCTCTCAATAAGTCAAAGTATAAGCAAGTATGTATATTAAAAAGAACTTGGAATGGCTATTGCCACAAGACAAGAAACTAGAGACTCTTGAACCTGGACTAAAAGTACGAAAGGAGTTGACAAGAGTGAAGAAGCCTTCACTCTTGTTTCTATATATACTATCTAACTAGGGGATACATGGCGACATTCTATTGGACCTTCAATATGTGTTGATTTTGTAGGACACATGCCTTGACTTACAAGGCAAGTTTTTCTATGTGTGGGCCACATAGTTAGCTTGATCTTCAAGCTAACAACATGTGTGGCACATGGCCAACTTGTTGACCACGTTTCTAATCCAAAAAGTCAATTAAAGACACCTATGAAGTCAAAGCAGCATCTAAGAAGTTTCTAGGAAGCTTTTATATTAAATACTGTAGAATTAACTTACATTTACCTACTTTTACTTACTTCTACCTATTTATATATGTAATTATTAGCTTATATGATTATGGCCGTTACAAATATTGTTAGGAAGTCTAAATATTTGTGTTATAGATATTTATGAAAATAAATATGTTATGCAGGTGATTCAGGAAGGTATTCACAGAGAGGCAATGACAAAGAACATCGCCGGCAATTGAAAGGAGGGGAATGTATACTTCAGGCTTATAAAAAAAATCATGATGCAGTTTTGGAAGTCGTTAATGCAAAAGACAGGATTTTTTATATGAGAAGTGAATCTTCTCCTGACATTAAGTATTGTGTTTCTTTAAACACTTATTATTGTGATTGCCATGCCCGGTTGTCAACCTGCAAACATATTCTAGGGCTTCAACTCATTGTTAAAGAATTTTTCACTCCTTCATACGTTTCACTAGCTAGAATGAAAAGCATGAATAATGTGGGCTATTGTGATAGTGGGGAACTATCGCCATTATTGGAAGAAGCCATACATGAAGTCAATTTGTATGAAAATGATAGAAGGAGTGAATTTGTTAGACAGTTACATAATCTTTCTCGGCAATTGAAAGAGTTGATTTCACATGTGGAATCATCTACAAGTGATTATACTGTAGAGGAAGTAGACCAAAAGGGAGATGTGTTCCAGATGTGTCTAACATCATTTTCACAGCCGTTCACGTTCCAAAGACCTCCTACTATTGAACTTCCCCATCATGGTTCTATAGCCCCTCTATAAATGCACGTGACGAGTACGAGGATGGGACATGGGCAAAAACAGAAGATACTAGAATATGGAGAAGGTTCTACTCCACAACCGCCTTTGAAACGTCCAACTCATGTGCTTGTGGCACATTCTAAGCAGAAGCGAAGAATATTTCCACAAGTTTCTAAAGTTCATTATGACATTTGTAAGGTGAACACTAGAGTTGAAGAGAGAGATGAGTTGGTTTGCAAGAATTGTGAATGTCCCTTGACTTTGGAATAAATTTTGTTATGTTCCATTTATTTTGCAAATGCTCTATCTTCTTCCTTTATGTTGTTTATAAAAACTAAAGATGAGTTACATTTCTAATACTTAAAAACCACAAAAGTTTTTGTATATCAAAATATTTTAATTTGTAACCACTACTCAAACCTATCTTGCACCTCAAAAATTCCCACTCAAAACTTTGAAGTACTCAAAACCAAACTTGACTCCTGAAGGACCAAGGCATTTTAGAGGAATCTTTATTCCATTGATTACAAATTGCCAAGATAATTTTTTTGAGAATACAACGGTAAGATCTTCTTGTAAACTTGTATGAAATAATGTGATTAAAATTTTGCAATTTTTGACCGTAGGGATTCAAAGATAATTACATTAAAATGTAGAAACTTCTTGGTACTTAAGAGGTTAAGTCCCTCGCATGTTCTGACTCTTCCCTGGTCACGTTGATCTCACCTCGACCCTCTGGACTCTGGAGTCTCTGTCCCCGGAAAAGCCTCCCAAGATATCCTGGTATACCCGCCTAGAGATACCCGGGGGGGGGCTCCACGGGGGGATGGGGCAGGAAACCGGGCGAGCTGGAAGCCGCGGGGTGGGGGGGGCGAAGGGACAGCACCGAGCAGAGCCTGCACCAGGCAGATGTGGCGTACCCCCCTCACCGGGCCGCCGTTAGTGACAAGGAGGGGCGGGTATAGGAAAGAAGAGGTATGCAGGCGCACACCTCTCTTGCAAGAAAGAGAGAGGAGAGGTGAGGAGAGGTAGAGGAGATGGGAGGGCTAGGCAAGTGCATGTGGAGGAGCTGCGAGGCTGCGAGCTGCGGGCGGGGACAAGGGCGAGCGTGAGGGTGGGCGACCGCGATGACGGGCTGCGGGTGAGGGCGAGGGTGGGGCTGTGGGTTGTGGGCGAAGACAAGGACTGGGCTGCGGATTGTGGGTGAAGCTGCGGGCTACGGGCGAAGGCGAGGGCATGGCTGCGAGCTGTGGGCGAAGGCGAGGGCAGGGCTGCTAGCTGTGGGCGAAGGCAGGGCTGCGAGCTGTGGGCAAAGGCGACAAGGTTGCAAGTGGTGGGTGAAGGGGAGGGCAGGGCTGCGGGCTGTGGGCGAAGGCGAGGGCGAAGGCGAGGGCGAAGGCGAGGGCTGGGCTGGGAGCTACGGGCAAGGCTACGGGCTAGGCTGCGGGCTATGGATAAGGGCAGGGCTGCGAGCGACAAGGGTTTGGGCGGAGGCGGAGGCAGAAGGTACGCCGCATTCAGAAAAAACCATTGAAAAAACCCAAAAATGAAAAAAACCCCAAAAATTAACAATCACTTCCAAGGCAAAATTCCCGTTCCCGTTCCCCGCGGGCTTCGCTTGGCGAAGCCAAGAATTTAGGCAATTTTAGAAATTTTGCGATAATTCCGGTGGTCGCCCATCCCGGTACTATTCCTTGTCCGTCATGCTTAACTTTGAGGTTCCCAACCTCTTATAACCGACCCAAAGCCTTGGTGATGTCAAAGGCGTGTTTGTAAATATTTTATTTCCCATCCATTTGTTTTACAAATAGTTTTATTTCATTAAAATCAAGGTTTAGGGTTTCATTACTTCATGCTAACTACTAAAATATACTTAATTTAGTTCTCTTCACTATACATAGGTTTCTCCCTTAAATATCTTTTTCATTTTCCTACCAAAAACGGTTGGTTTTAGTACAATGAACAAGTTCAAAAGATTAAAAAATTATTTTTAGTTTTAACCGTAGGATCTCAATAACAACTTAGTAAATAACATCCTCAAAACATTTCATAAATTTTGACCGTACGGATTGAAAGATTACAATGTTTGAAGTTGAGATATGGTTCATTTTCTTCCCTATGTTTAGTGGATCAACAAACTTTGATTTCACTTCGTGACCAAATTTTGCACAACGTGAGGTCTAAGTTAATTACCATCATGTTAAGTCTAATGTTAATTCATTATATGCCCATTTTTAGAGGTAGAAAAGGGGCATATAATGATTATATCATAGATTCCAAATTTCATGTCTACATGTATAAATGGTTGTGCAATATATTTAAAATGCACTTATAACATAGTATTTGTGAAAACGTGACATTGGCATGTGACATTATTTGCATAAAAATTGATATTTTCTTCATATTAATTCATATTAATTCACATTTTTTGAAGCAATTAGAAGTTTTTAATTATATTATCAACTTTAATATAGACCTTGTAATCAAGAATTCAATTCTTACAAATTATGTTGGCCTTATTTGTATTTAATGAAATGAAAGTTGTGACATTCCTACAAATTATTTGACGTTTTCACGGATATTATGTTTTATGTCTATTATAAAATATGGAACTCATTTTTCTTTCTTGATGTGTAGAATTTCCATCTTAGATATTTTCAAGCCCCGGTCATGTGATGCTCATACTTGTAAGAAGAAGTTGAAGATATGATAAATAATGCCACGGAACACGTTTTTGGAGCCGCTCTGCCATAGGATGAGGAGTGTTGTGGAGTCATATGGTTGTAGAGTAGACATGATATTTATGTAGTCGCAAAATAGGCTAGTATGGTGTGATTGATATGTTGGATTTGAGTGTAGCATGTTTGATTATTGGTTTTATGTATTGTTTGATAATGAATATTTTTACATATTATTGATATATTGAAATACCTTACACTTTGAGTTCTTGTTGTATTGGGCGTTTTACTATTGTAGTATGTTACTATGATATTATATTATAATACAAAATGTGAATGTATAGATTGTAAGTACATAAGCAATGTAGTTTTGTAAAATGAACAAAAACCAATTTAATCATTATGTATTTTATAAAAGTTCAAGGAATTAGTGAATTTTTTTCACTTTTATACACATATCTAAAGGAATATCTAACCAAACCAAAATGAAAAATCTTGAACAAAGGAACTGGTAAGATTTTGAGTTTTTTGCATAGAAAACAAAATTCCAGTAAAAAACTTGTGTTTTTTGAGTGCTGGTTAGCACACTTGGCCAAGTGCATAATTGCTTAATTGTGTATTAATTAATTTCTTTGTCTATCTCCCATGGGAAAGATATGTTATTACAACATTGTCTCCCATGTATTCTTAAAATAGAGATGTCCAACTTACTATGGATCAACCCTTGGTCTTCATAATGAACCTCCATATTCATTACTATATTAGTTTTACTTAAGTAATTGATTTAAGTGAAGGTAATTAGAAGCATTAATTAGAAGCAACTTAACATTAGGCGGTACCATTCCCAGCATGGTCGCCAAGAATATGTAAACCATAAAATCCCACATTCCAAAACACCCACAAATCACTCTTATTCCAAGTTTAGTCTCCCGGGATGGTCTAGCATCTAATGTTAAGTAGTTTGTCTTCTAATTATGGGTTAAACAGTATCTGCTCTTAAAGTTCTTAAGTTTGTTTCTTTATTTCATAGGATGTTAGGAATAAACAACCTACACTCTTAAAGGATTGGGAGAGTACAATGCTTATCCAAGGTTAAGAGTGATTTCAACAAGAGCCTTGCTCATTGTCTTGTTGTGTGTGTGCCTTAAACCTCTATCTATGCCACACTAGGCAAATGGACCTTGTCCATTTCTGAGCTCATTGCATTTGCTTCATTAATTAGTTCCTTTTAAAACACACAAGCTTACCTCATGCAATAAAGCTCCATCTTTTCACATCCGTCCACACCTTCTCACGGGCTCAAATCTACATTAGTCTCATCATATCAAACACATTAGTTTAAGCATTCGTGATTCTCCACCTAGTTCATACCTTAAACTCCTTCCAATCATCATGGTGTGTTGATATAAATTAGAGTCCTCGACTCTTACATATGCAATCCTATGGTTCTAGTCTCTAGACTTAGGATGCTATACTTTTCTTTAAAAGATGCTTTAATGCAATCTCCAATTACTTAAGGACTTCCTTCATTGCCTTAAGTTTCTTTAAGCATGCACAACTCTACTTAAGACTTAAGCAAACATCAACGCATCTTATTATAAAATCATCACTTATTACACTCCTATGAGTTCCACACACTCATATCCTTAACCACTAGGTCACTTGACCTAATTAGGCCCTTTTCCTAATATACTCTTAAACACTTATTATATTTATACAAGTATACATGACCTAAAGTCTTACAAGACCTTAGACATACACAAGTACAAATATAATTACAACATATATATATATATATATATATATATATATATAATATTTTCCCTTTTAGAAAAATTATATCAATACATAAGCCCAAGTACCAAAAAACATCCAAATATATGATAAAATATTTTAAAAACCTTATATATAAACACTATAATCAAAATGAATAAACCTCCAAATAAATTTTCTTATATCAACTCTCTTTAAATTAACCTTCTAACTACTCTAATCTACATTAAGATTTACAAACATATTATATGTCTTAATTAATTTTTACACACTATAAGCAATTACAGTACGACACTATTACATCTAGTCTTGTTGAGCCTATCCTTAGTATTTGTACATGACAAATTAATAATTCAATTGCTAGGGCCACATCTTTGATGGTTTTAGCTTATCTTTTAAGTGCCCTAGGATTAAACATCAATAATTGCAATCATAATTAATTTTGTATGCTTGTGTGAAAAATTCATGGAAGTATTTAATTATACAAATTTAAAAAATATTTAAAGGTCCAATGGAAGGAGGCCACATCAAAAGATAAAAAGATTATGATTGGTATGATGAAAGAAAAAACCACCTTTATTAGTACAAATTTGTAGAAGAGGTGGTTAGGAAAAGAAAAGTTCATGAAGAATAGTTCTTGAAGTGAGATTATTTAACTTGATTATTAATTTACCAAACAAAGTTGATCTTTTAAATAAGTGTGTTGAGTTCTTTACTTTCTATTACATGGTATCTGTTTTTTATTATATTTCTTAGAAAATTATATATGATTGCTAATTACTTCTTATATAAGTTTGTATTACTTTTGAAGAAACATGTCTGTAAAAACAACATTGTTTGAGATATCGAATGCTTTAAAAATAATATTGATGTACAAACTATAATCTTTAAAGTCTCAAAAAGTGCATATTATCTTATTTAAATAAATATGATGCAATAGTTTTTAAAAAACTATTATTTATTATATTTAGTAAATTATTTATTACTTTTATTATTATCTTTCAATTTTCTACTAAAATAAATTCAATCGAGGTTTTTGTACTTTTCATCTAGTATGTATCTTATAATAGTGCTTTTGGTCTTTTCAATTATTGCATGCAACATTATTGTATATATACATATTCATTCTTGAATATATAGTTAACAATTAATATATATATTTTTTTATTTTTAATCAAATGATGAAAGTTTTATAAAATATAATTATATATTATGTAATCTATTCTATTAAATACTTATTATAAGTATCAAGTATAAAAAGTACTCTATTAAGCATTTCTAATCACACAAGAAAAATTAATCCATTTATATATTGGAATTGTACATGCCTCAATTGCACATGCTTCATTTGCATCATACATATGTGCAAAAATGTGCAAAAATCTTATTTACAACATATAAAGAATTAAAGATGCATTTGTATTAGTTCTTCTATATAGGTGTTATTATGCACCTTCTGTTAATCTTTGTATCATTCATCTTTATACATGGTTGTCCAAAACATGTGAGCAAATTTCTTCCTCTATCTGTCCATTCCATCCATCCCTTATGTGATATAAGCAGATGCCAACTATTCAATGTTGTACAACTAATACCATTTAATTGTGAAGATATGCAACTTTGTGGTAACAAGATTCTTTAAATCACAAGCTTTATGTTTCTTCTTCTTCTTTTAAAATTTTGAAGATTGACTATGGTGAAAAAGATTGGCAATAATCTCCTTATTCACCTTAGTTACTTCTAGTGAAATTTCAAGGACCTCTCTATCATTTCTCCTAAGCTTTTCTCTTCGATTATGTCTTTAAAGAGTCATATCTTAACATTATAAAACTATTTCAAATTACAAATAAGTTCTCAGTAAAATTCACACAATTGTAAAATAAATAAGCATTGTAAAAAATAAAGACAAAAACATTTTTCCACTTTATTTGCTTCCAACCTCTTTATTTGTACTCACAATCTCAATCAAGGGATTATGTCCAATCTAAGACTTAAAAACATCAATAATGTACAAGAATATAAAAAATAAGCCCCATCTTCCTCTTATTTATACTTAAAATCTACCATCACATGCCACAATTCGAAGGCCCCACCATTATGTATTAACATGTGGATTCCATCTTTTCATTGCAAATACAACAAAAAATTAACCACAAAAGTTTTTTTTTTGTTTTTTTTTTCAAATTCATTTGAAAGAGAAGATTTGTATTTTCTTCAAAAAAATGTGCCACAAGAAGGGTGAAGTTGGACCTCCATTGAAAGGAAGGGATGTATATAATGTGGTTATACCAAGGCTATTACTCCAAATTCCATTAGAACTTTGAAGGTAAGCACTTTTGGGCCTGAATAGTATTGGTATAGATGATCTCTTGGACAATCTTAGTGCAACATCCAGATTTGCTTCTAAACAATGCAATAGATCTAAAATATCTTAAGCCACGTAGAACAATAAATAAATGATAATGTGACATGTGTTAAGGTAGTAAAAAATGAACTAAGAAAATAAAATTAGTAAGTGAGAGCCATAAATTTAGAAATAAAAATGAAACATGAACATACACCTATGCCACATGAGATATAATATATATCTATATCTATATCTATATATATATATATATATTATTTTAAGATTAAGATTTTAGAGTTTGGAAGAATTAAGATTTATAGGCTTTAGAATTTGTAGGACTAAGGATTTGTATACTTATATGAATTACATAGGAAATTAAATTAATAATAGAATATCATATAGAATAGTGATAAAAAAACAAAATTATAAATTTAGAAAGTAAGAGCCATATAATCATGGTAACTTTTATCAACTACATAATTCACATCACAAAATCTGGAAAAATGGCCATTTGTGTTGGTGATATAAATGCCTTACATGTTAGCAAGAGTCATCTTAAGATGGAAACTAGTTTCTTCCTAGCTTTTAAATCCACTTGAGATGCTTAAACACTTTGAATTTGAAATTCATATGAGATGCTTCTAAATGCACTTGAGTTCTTTAAATTCTTTTGAACTTATATGAGATATTTTTGTACAAGCATGAAATATTTTTATTATTTAATAGAATCATCTATATTAATAAATATATATTGAGTAAATTATTCAAATCAATGAAACATATTTTTAAGCTAAAACAAATTGATAGATTTTTTTCTTGCTTTAATTACAATATAATATCATATCATCTTTTATAAATATTATCATGTAAGTGAAGCCAAAGAAGTGGAACTCAACTTTACATCAAGTCAATGAAAGTGTGGATGATGTTAATTTTTTACTTCTTAGGTAAGCCTAGAATAACTTCCATTCTGCAATGTCAACTGCGTCAATACTGGGAGGCACCCCGTGAGTCATCAAATTGACTCACTTGTTGTTTTAGGACAAAAATATGCATTTAGAATGCTTTAAATCATAATATATGATAAGTAGTGTAGAAATTCTTAGAGAAATAGAAGATTAGAATGTTAGTGGTAGAAATGGAGTCTT